GCATAAACTGGTCACAGCGATATCGGGCCTCATGTGCTTTTTCTTCCGGGTTACTGCAGTGAGCCTGGATTATTTTGAACAGTGCTCTCACGCAGCTTTGTTTGTGGGTCACCGGATGGTTTATGTAAGAATTGAGATACTGTGTTGTGTTCGTCGTCTTCCTGTAGATAATTGTTTCTTTTTCATCGATGGAATCTCACATGCCAAGTACATCAAGGAAAAGCACCTGCTGATCCTCTTCTTCTTTACTCGTGCATTGTATATCTGGGAAGATCGAGTTAAGGTGACCATGGAAATTCTGTAACGTATTCCTTTTGACGATAACAAAAGTGTCGTCAACGTAACGGTGCCAGAAGATTTGCGGCTGTTGGGTTAAGGCAATCTTTTCCAGCTCTTATAGGACCAATTCTGCTACTAAACCGGGGATTGGAGAGCCCATCGGAGTTCTTTTGATCTGTTCTTAAGTGTCTCCTGCAAAAGTGAAATAGGTCTTTTGGCAAAATCTGTAAAGCCTCATGAGGTGTTCAATTTTGAGCGAACTCTGGGTTTCGGGGTACAGCTCCTCAAGTTTCCTGCCTAGGACGCCTTGTAACAAACCTGGGGGGTGGGTGTAAATAATGATGTCACGTCAGACGAATAAAACCATGATTCCAGTGATCGACTTGACTACTTATTTACCTATACACACAACTGGGATGCGAACATTCGCCTCAACTTATGTTTTGTCTGCTCGTCAAATAGAAGCAAGCAAGAAGGACGACTGCAAAGAAATGAGCTGTGATTATAAAGAGAATTTTGCCATGGTATTTCCTGTTACTTTTCTTGAGAGTCGGCGTAATAACGTCACTGCAGTCTGTGAACAAGGTTTCTGCTTCCAACTCTAGAGTCTGAAGACCGCGGAAGCGTGTGTAGATTACTGCCAGAGGTCAGTCTTCTCTAAATGCATTTCCGTTCTTCTATTCCGGAATCGCCTCGGAAATCTACTCTGTAGATGGGAGTGTTAGTCGCAGACGGTGGGGTGCCCTTACCTGACGGTAACTGAGGGGTAGGAGGAGGGGAGAATGCCGGGTGTGGTGCCTGACATTGATGCCATCAACGTCCCCAGGTTTCCCTCGGCAGTGAACTTAGACAGACTGGAGGGTTTGGCTCCCTCCAAAAGCTGGCATATCCTCTCGTCATTTTGATGAGTCGGGGCGCATTCGAGATCTCCGGCAGTTCCATCCCAAAGCCCATTGCAGTCACGCCAAGCATGACGTGCGGTTTCATAAGACAGCCTCCTGTATTTGAGATAGCTACGAAAGCAAGGAATCTTTGCACTGTCAGCTAGTTAACTCGCTTCACTGCCATCCTTACCGCCATGCCTGGTTTCATCTAAAGTCTCCCAAGAGACCCTTAGGACAGCCTGGTTCGGTCTGAGTTGGTCGGCTTCCACTGGAGGCGGTAGGCACTTTTGTGATAAGCACGAGTTCGACAAAGCGAGTCTTCACAAGGCACTGAGTATCATCATCCTCACTGTTGTTTTATTAGTAAGCGGAACCAGCGACTTGGATAAGTATATATTCAAATTAATTTTTAGAGGATCTACCACTTGAAAACCAGGTAAGTGAACCTTTCTTAAAGTGCCAAGAGTATCGCAGTGGCTTAAGTTAATAGGGAAAACCCTCGTGGCTGAAATCTTCAGGGCCCGTTCCGTGTAAAAAGAGAATAGGTGGGATGCCAGGAGAGAGGAATAGTGTATTCTGTACAGAGGTAGCGGAGAATAGGTTAGGGGACATTGACGGTCGGACGAGCATGCGTCCACGACTGAGGGGGTCGGCAGCCGAACTGTGTGAGCGTGGCAGTCATCACAGCCTCTACAGCGCGGTCTTGGTGTGAGTCAGCCACAGGGAAATGATTGGCCAGACCGCATTAGGGTAGAGAGACAGTGGTGCGTGCGCATGTGCCAGCAACTGCGAGAGGCGAGACGTTAAGCGCTACAAGCGGAGTTAGGTCAGAAGCATGAAACTTTACTGTTATGGAGAACGAAAACGATGTGAAGTCACGGCCTAATGCGAAAGTCGGAGGTGATCATGCGAGC